TGGTCATCATTAGGTTTGACAGGCACATGAGACTAGCGGGAATTTCTCCCCTAAGATGTACATATAAGTCCAATGTTCTTTTTTTTTTTACATCAGATTTTAATTGCGTATGCAGCTATCTAGCTATGACACAATATCAAAGAAAAGTACAGAAGACATGATTCAACGTAAAGGAAGAGCACTCATGCCTCAGATTTCATTTGCAAGTACCACTGCGAAGTTATGGTGGCTTTTTCTTCACCCCAAGTAAACCCTCATCCGTGAATACCCACCCAGGGGAACGTCTCAAAAACCCTGAGTTATCCAGACATGCCTCCAGCATCTTTCAACTTTTCTCCGCGTAAAATATGGTCTGAGGCGTCTCCTTCCCAAGTGGAGTAGGTGCCCAGACTACTCAAACTATACCAGAGAACATCACCAGGAGGCGGATCATAACATCTTCCATCGTCGGCTTGTTTTTATAGTGTCGCCTGCACTCTCGAAACCAAAGTCTTGGCTTAGGCACAAAGCTCAATTCGTAAAACTCGTAGTCAGAATCCCAGAATCTACGCCCGTCGAGCATGGCTAATTATTGGTAATAGAGTGTTAGCTCTCTTCCGCTAGTGCGATAAGATAAGAATATACCTGCTAGCCTTCAAGAATTCTAGAGTGATTATTCTTCCAAAATAAGGAACCCGAGATTTCACCCTGCCGAAGTCCTACAGACCGATCTCTCTACTTTCATGCCTAGGTAAAGATTGGAGCTTGACATAGCTAAATAGCTGATTACAATATGAATTAAAAACAAAAAGATTTGAGCGACTAATAGCACGGCGACTTTCATTCATAGTTCTGAAATATCGAGTACTCGCTAAAGACCAATGTAGTGTGTAAGGATTCTGGAGAAATGCCTCAGGCAGCATTTATGGGTTCCTTGTTCAGCACCACTATGCTTCTTTTTTTTTTGCATCGGATTTTAATTGCGTATGCAGCTATCTAGCTATGACACAATATCAAAGAAAAAGTATAGAGAAGATGACTCAATATACAAGAGGAGCACTCATGCCTCGGATTTCATTTGCAAGTACCACTGCGAAGTTATGGCGGGGAGAGCAAGACTGAACACCTGTACGCGGTGTCCTCTACGAACCTGGGAGTGAAATATTCTCCCAGAGCCGAGTTCAGTCAAATTTCGCAATATCGAACAAGTTGGCACACGAGGCAATGGTTTAAAATTCTCCACCTCGTCTATTTTTCAGTTCCAAAGAGTCCGATTCTCAACTAAGCCTCATTAAGTTTACAAGTACGACCTAGCACATCCTCATTCCAATGACCACACCTCTTTTCGACTTTCTCTGGCCTCAGCTGGTCGCCAGATACACGCCCACGCCGATATTTACACCCGCTGGAGGAAGTAAAGCGTGGCGCACAAATCTGGAAGACAATTCCTTGGGATGGATGTTAGAGGGATCAGGACAAGTTGATAAGATGATGCAGAGGATTGGATACAGTCTCGACGGGCGTGGAATTTTGAGTTTTGGAATGGAGTTTTTACAAATTGAGCTTTGTGCGTGCCAAGTCTTCGGCTGCGAGAGTGCAGGCGACACTATAAACACCGCCATGGTTGGATGGTGCGGTGGTACATCGTCTTGGTCGGTCTGCCAAGTAGAGTCTGGATAGCTTGGACACATATCCCACTCGAGACAGTAGATCGCTGGTTCAAATCCAGCAAAACACAACCACTTTTCTCGCGGCGCTGGTATGCATGGATGACGAAGGCAAGCATGAATTACCAAAGGTTTTGAAACTCCCTTTGGTGGGTACCTGCGGAGGAGGGTCAACTGTTTGTGTAAGAAAATAAACCTCATAGTGGTATTTGCGAATGAAATCCAGAGTATGAGTGCTTCTAACGTCAAAAGAGTCATCTAAAATGTATTTACAATACCGATTATATGTTATATCTCGATAGCGCAATACACATTAAATAACTTAAAAAAAAAGAAGTTATGGTGGCTTTTTCTTCACCCCAAGTCAACCCTCATCCGTGAATACCCACCCAGGGGAACGTCTCAAAAACCCTGAGTTATCCAGACATGCCTCCAGCATCTTTCAACTTTTCTCCGCGCGAAATATGGTCTGACATGTCTCCTTCCCAAGTGGAGTAGGTGTCCAGGCTACTCAAACTATACCGGAGAACACCACCAGGAGGCGGACCACGGCACCTTCCATTGTTTGCTTGTTTTTATAGTGTGAGCTGCACTCTCGCAAGCGAAGTCTTGGCGCGCACAAAGCTCAATTCGTAAAACTCTTGCCGAAATTCGAAATTTCACGCCCGTCGAAAATGTATCTCTCTTCTGCATCATCTTGTAAACTTGTCCTGATCCCTCTCACGTCCGTCCCAAAGAGCTATCTCTCAGATTTGTGCTCCACGCTTTGCTTCCTCCGTCGGGTGTAAATATCGGCGTGGGCGTGTATTTGGTGACCGGCTGAGGCCAGAGAAAGTCGACGAGAGGTGTGGTCATTGAAACGAGGATGTACTAGGTCGTACCTGTAGACTTGATGAAGCTTAGTTGAGAATCGGACTCTTTGGGAGTGAAAGATTGACATGGAGTAATTTGAAATTTTGCCTCGTGGGCCAACTTCTTTGATATTGCGAAATATGACTGAACTTGGCTCTGAGGGAATATTTCACTCACAGGTTCGTAGAGGACACCGCGTACAAGTGTTCAGTCTTGCCCTCCTGTAATGGTCTTTGCATATGTAGATAGATAAACATCAACCTTAGTAGGCACGTATTACCCAACACGAGTTCAGATTATTCATCAGACGATTTGTTGGAAAATATGGTTATTTATAGACGATCATATCACTCACTAAGTAGCAGTAGTGTTTGGAACCCTCTGATTGGTCTGAAGTGAAGGTCCTCTTTTTTTTTTTTTTTTTTTTTTTTTGCATCAGATTTTGATTGCGTATGCAGCTATCTAGCTATGACACAATATCAAAGAAAAGTACAGAATGGATGATTCAACGTAAAGGAAGAGCACTCATGCCTCAGATTTCATTTGCAAGTACCACTGCGAAGTTATGGTGGCTTTTTCTTCACCCCAAGTCAACCCTCATCCGTGAATACCCACCCAGGGGAACGTCTCAAAAACCCTGAGTTATCCAGACATGCCTCCAGCATCTTTCAACTTTTCTCCGCGCGATATGTGATCTGAGGTGTCTCAAGTCCAATGTTCACATAGTTGTAAAATATCAAGTCTTCTTTACTTCATCATATTTATCCATATAATATCGTACAGAGTATATTTTCCAACACTTCTGTAGTCAAGTACCGGTCCAAAAATTCTCTTGGTCCCGGGCCCAGATTTTGATAAATTAATGATATTTGCGACTGGATGGTCACATACCAATCGGAGTTTTGTTCGAGAGCTATTCGGATGTGGCATCGGAAGGATGAATATAGCTTCTTATCCTTACCTTAAAAGTTTCTTTGATTTTGAACAGCTCTGACCTCACCTGTGCCACGGCTGAGTGCGCAGGGTCGGCAAGATTGATAGACTGAATTTCAAGCTTTTCATTTAGCTTTTCAGCCTCGGACAGGCAGTACTGATTAATTGCTGAATATTTCAATAATTTGACATTTTCTTCACAATTGTAAGAAAGATCACGCCTGAGCTGTTCATTAATTTTTCTGCTCTTAATAAGCTCGCGCCGAGAATTCGAAATAGAGGATCGATATTCTTCAACTCGTTTCTCTGAGGTTTGTCCCGATGTGAAAACTCTGGTAGTCAAGGCTTCACCTGCATCGTCATTCAACGAGCGAAGGTGTTTTAAAAAATCTCAGGCGGTTATAAATTGGACGACGAAAGCCATTGAGAGAATGTGGGTGATTGTTGCTGCAACGTAATATCACGGGTGGGTCTCGTTGGAACGGAGTCACAAGCAGATCGGAGATACGTGAGGACAAGTACGGGTAGAAATATATTAATAAGACGTTGTACTATCTATTCTATTCTATTCTACTCAGTTACTTATACTTGATTCCTGCGCTAGCATCAGTAACACAACCAAGCAAGATAATTGTGCGTCATGTAACTTACTGGTCACGTCATAAACGAGAACCATAGGTACCATGACACTGGGCTCGCTCCGGAAACACATCGGATGGCTTTTCCTCTATGAACAAGGGTTTTTGATGAGAAGGGCTTCGTCCCTGCCATCTGATCTGATCGTGGTTAGCTTCATGATAATGGTGATAGGGGAATATGTTTAGAGATGAAGACGATACAGACGGCAAAAGCGATTGGGAATCCTTATCGAAGGGAGCACTTTGTTACTCAATCTCGACTCTACAGTGAGAGCTGGAGGTTCGTAGGGGACACCACTGACAGGTGTTGAGAAAAGTCCCCCCTCATCCAATACTTATATACAGCACTGATCATGTATTATAGCTAGATAGCTGAATACACAAAAATGATTTAAAATAAAGTTAATATCGCCGATCGATGGAGCAGGAAGTAAGATTAAAATGTAGATTGAATAAGAAGATAGGCCTTGATAGTTGACTATGATACTAAAACGATGGTGGCCCTTAATCATCAGCGAAAAAGTGACAAGTTAATCTCCAGATATAACGCGACGGTAGCCCCTTCCAATCTCACAAGACGGCCTCTCAACTTAATCCATCTCGATTGATTGGTTCAAATTTTAGTCTCTATCAAGTCCTGAATTACCAAAGACTACTAGTGGATCAAATTTATACGCTCCTTAATTTATTTGTTAAATTATCAATAGAATTACTAAATTTTATGCCAGTAGGTCTTGAGGGTAACCAACCTATCACTTGGCCGACAAACATATATGCTTTATACTAGGAGAAGTATTTTCCATGGGTACATATTGATCTAGATAGAATCCATAACGTAAAAATTATTCCATATATCTCTGTATTTATTTTACTCGAACTGTGATTTATCAACTTCTGGCCCCATGGCTCAGTGAATGCATCGTTAAAAAACCTAGAATATCCTAAATCTAGCCAGCTTAAAATTGGGTATGTCTGCGCGAATTTCATTGGATTCGTTTTGTATCAAGTATTGGATAACCTCGTCGTCAGACTGGCGTCTATTTCTCGTAAATATTAAATATTCATTATTTGTACCAGAATCGATAGTGATGTATAGTTTCCCGGCTATAGAGACAAGATATGTATTTGCTTGACCCATTTTTGCCATCGTCAAATGATGATACGAGTCCAAGATATCTTCTGCGGCAAGAGCCATGTCTGCAACGAAGCATACACTCTCTTTCCTTTCCTCACATTGAGTTGTTGAGTCTAAAATTAACGATTCCCTGGACATGATGTATCTCACCAAGTGTTTGACTCTGCAATAAGGTACTGATCCCTCTTTGACCATGGAGAAGCTGATTATGCTGCCTTCAATGAAACTAGATAACTCTGCAACGCAACGGTTATAATCAGAGTCTACTTTGTCACGAAATCTGACTTGAGATCTTTCGAGCCTGGCTTTTTGAGAAATATATTCATACGCAACTGCATAACCTTTCTCGTCTTCAGCACAGTACTTTCCCGACGCACTGACTCTTGTCATAATTGGGCTGCGATTAAAATGTAAAAGTTTACCACTAAAGGTCCGAAGCCATTTTCCGAATGGGGTCACAAAGTTCTCGCCATAATCAAAGGTGAAATATTGAAAAGGATCATGCGGTGATGATATGGGATAGAAATTATAACTGTATAAAACGCGATTGTTCCACATCGCTGCATATGATACTAGAAGGTAGAAGCATCTCATGATTTAGACCAGATATGATGGTAAAAACTGCGCCGCCTTTGGTTTTTCGTAAGACAACATGTAAATACAAATAAACTTCTTCAACGTTTCAGAATGACGTAAGCTGAAGTGTCGGTGGGATAGACCAAATAATTATTGCGCTTTGAGATAAGCTTTCCTATGGGCGATAATGATTGTGATGGCTAGTTCAAAGTTCCTTGAACAGGTTTTGGTGAAATTCAGTGAAAGTAGATAGTGAATTGAGTGTGATGGATTTATCTTCCAAAGTCGACTAATGGCCGCTACATTGCATATATTATTTCCTGTAGCCAATTTGGCGTGCAGTTTCGCAATAACAAGCACGACTCAGGCCCTGGAGTAAACTGCTCACCGGAAATACACCGTACCCACCGAATCTCGGATTAGATCAGATACATTTGTGCTAGGAATCAACTTTGACGAATCCTGCACCTTCCAGTAGTACCAGTGTAATCGCCAAGTGTGCTCTGAATCCCTAGGATGGCTAAGAAGAATCGCATCCGGAGAGCAGTCAGGAGGAAATACAAGCACATTTATCGTCAGCAACTATCATCAATTTCAGGCTTCCCATTCTCACGCTAGTCTTCTAGCTCTATCCTACCACACACCACATCGCCCAATAAACCGATCAATTACTCCAATCGTCAGCGTAAACTTGCCTCATCAATCATCCACCATCTCCTGCTAAAAAATCACGATACCATGTTTACCCACAATAAAGAAATTAAGTCATCGTATGCAAAGCTTGGGTCTTGACTTATGGGGGATCGTTGCTCTTATGGGACCATACGACTTGCGACCGGATGTGCGGCTGAGATATGGGTTTAGAGAGGGAAGAGGTCACTTGTGTGCATGCTGGAACTAATATTTTTTAGTGGCTTCTGATTTATGATGTTTTTGTGCGCCAAAACTGTAGTTTTGGGTAATTGGCCAGGAGCACTTTTACTGTCGATGAGTCTACGCAACTCCTCAGTACCCAGACGGTGCATAAGAAGTTAGGCCAAGCCACTATACAGCAATCATGCTCTGTCAAGACTTTTCTCACATTACAGCACGCCATTCGAGAAAGAGTTGGTAGGAGCTTTGAAAAGTAGAGTTTAAATTTTTTCGGTACTCACTAGTCTGCTGCACCTAGCTGGCAGGCCTCTTCTAACGCTTTCAAAGGATATCTTGAGAAAATTATGACTTCTCAGTCATTTAGGCTGTAAAGCGCATTCATTCTGTTTAAATTCTGAACTCAGATAATATATGAATCAGTTATGAGCATTAGCTTCAGACTGTATATATTTCTGAGCATGTTACTTAGACAGTTAGAGCGGGCTGGTATTTATAATAGATTAGATTAGATTTTCTTATAGTCCTGTCTGAGTCTATGACTATGGAGGACTTCTAGGATCTACCTGAAAGAAATTAACTAATTTTGATTCATTTAAACATGGTAAATTGAATTATTTTCTTGTAGACAGTGAGGAGGGCTGGTATTTAAATGAACGTGTCGGTACATCACGGGTATTAAATGTGCTAGCACAATAGGTTCTGAATTTCAGAGGGGTTAGTTGTTCTTCTCTTCTCTATATCTAAGCTATCTATTATCAGGGCATGACTCTCACTATCTATTGGAACACACTAAATAACTTCATTTGAACGGTGAAATAGTGGCCAGAATTTTGATGGTAGATTCTAGAAGTCCTTCAAAGTCTTTGAATCAGGAGGGCCTATGATATAAATTTTTATCTAAGCTATCTAGTGAGAGTTACCCTATGTAGATGCCAAGGCGCTAGAGCGACCAACACCAGTAAATGAGAACCTTCACAAGGAGGGCAAGACTGAACACCTGTACGCGGTGTCCTCTACGAACCTGGGAGTGAAATATTCTCCCAGGGCCAAGTTCAGTCAAATTTCGCAAAATCAAAGAAGTTGGCCCACGAGGCAAAATTTAAAATTACTCCACGACGTCGTTTTTCCGCTCCCAACGAGTTTGACGCCTACCTAAGTCTTATCAAGTCTACAAGTACGACCTAGTACATCCTCATTCCAATGATGACGCCTCTCTTCGACCTTCTCTGGTCTCAGTTGACCACCAAATACACGCCCACGCCGATATTTATACCCGACGGAGGAAGCAAAGCGTGGCGCACAAATCTGGGAGACAGTTCTTTGGGATGGACGTGAGAGGGATCAGGACAAGTTTACAAGATGATGCAAAGGAAGGATATAACCTTGAAGGGAGTGAAATTCCGAATTTTGGCAAGCAGTTTTTCGAATTGAGCTTTGTGCGCGCCAAGACTTCGCTTGCGAGAGTGCAGCTGACACTATAAAAACAAGCAAACAATGGAAGGTGCCGTGGTCCGCCTCCTGGTGGTGTTCTCTGGTATAGTTTGAGTAGTCTGGGCACCTACTCCACTTGGGAAGGAGACGCCTCAGACCATATTTTACGCGGAGAAAAGTTGAAAGATGCTGGAGGCATGTCTGGATAACTCAGGGTTTTTGAGACGTTCCCCTGGGTGGGTATTCACGGATGAGGGTTTACTTGGGGTGAAGAAAAAGCCACCATAACTTCGCAGTGGTACTTGCAAATGAAATCTGAGGCATGAGTGCTCTTCCTTTACGTTGAATCATGTCTTCTGTACTTTTCTTTGATATTGTGTCATAGCTAGATAGCTGCATACGCAATTAAAATCTGATGTAAAAAAAAAAAGAACATTGGACTTATATGTACATCTTAGGGGAGAAATTCCCGCTAGTCTCATGTGCCTGTCAAACCTAATGATGACCAGCCACCTCTCATCTACCATGATGAGCCAAGGTACACTGTAGTACGTAAATATCCAAACGTATAGGCGACGGTAGGCGCGATTAGCGTACTCGGGACATGTGTAGAGAGAGTCGATCTTGTCGGGAACCTGAGACGTAACAGCTAATGGTTGAGTCCTAAATTCGAGAGTCAGAATTTCCAACAAGAAGGCCTATTCGATTTCGCGTCTTTAGATAAAGTTTGGAATGTTTTGGATGTCTCCTACAGGAATCCTAATGAGGAAGAGGAAAAAGGAATCATAATCTAACAAAAAACATCAATTTTGCCAAAAAGCTGATCAGCATTCCACGCTGCCCGTATGATCAATTTGACATCGTTTACCTCATTTTTCTATCTTCATTACCCTCACCTCATCTTTTCGCTTTCCGTACTTCAACATGGCGAGTGTGAGTGCTGGTGTGGGTAAGTCCCGCAGTTTCCACGCTTTGTAAAAAGCGACAATGACCTCAACAGACAACGGCAGCGAAGCGTAGACAGCTCCAAAAGGATCCTAACTCGGAAATTACAGGGAGACTATTGAAAAAGGTCATGCTTATAGTGATGGGAGAGATGGATGAAGAGGACCTACCAACAATAGAAGACGTAAATGAAGCCGTCAAGGCATTCAATACTCACAAAAGGGGCTAGAAGGAAACGTCTCAGAAAAAGTCTCCTACCGAAGAGAGGATTATGGCGCTATAGGAGGTCGTTAAGAAAAGCCTCGCGAACTCTGCACAACAAGCAGCTCCTATTGTGTCATCGGGGAAGCCGCAACCAAGGACCTACGTGTTGGTCGTAGCTTTGCAAATGGCGAAAATGACGGTCAGAATAAGAATCGACGGCGCATAAAACCTGCAACCGGAGGAGCTGCTGTCAAGGGCCAGACAACACATTGAAGGAGCATTCGCAAATTGACAGATGCGAAGCAGCGACACCGAAGTGTTTTTCCAGTCGGCTTCCCAGAGAGACGCGGCGATTAATATGCGACAACCTAGCGAATTTAAAATTCTACAGCAAGATTTTCCCGGTGAGATTTCCGGAGTCCCACTACAGACAAGAATAGAAGGTGTCAGAGATTCCAATAACTACGTCATCATCAGGGAGATTGAGACGGTGAAGGGGGTGCGTATTCTAGGCCTATCAATTAATAGAATACGAAAGCTACATGATGGAAAGGAAGTCCAACGGTCAAAGAAAAATGGCCGCAACCGCGGATCAATAGTGGTCAGCCTCCCACCGAAGGCAATTCAAACGGAGACTATTTGACAGGGCCTTGTAATCAGTAACATGCTCTTCACCACGCACGTGTGGTCATCAAATTCGGGAATGTCCGTGGAAAAGTGTTTCGTGCGCGAGCTGCAGCAAGGAACATCGTTCATGACAAAAAGCAGCGTATCGGTCCTACCAAGTCTACAGGGGAAGTATGGAGAAGGCTCGGATGGAGTTGCTTTTAAGAACGCCTGATATATGGAATGAAACCCCCACAACGGCGCCAACACGAACAGTCGGAAAGACTGATGATCATGGATTTACTTCAGTCGCCAGTAAAAAGGCTGAAGGATTCAAAAGAGGGCCGAGACGGTTGCGCAAGGTAGTCGAAGCCTTAGTGGCACCAACCACCCCGACGACAGCAGTACCACCATCGAGGGCAACTCTTCGGACACTTTGAGGACCAACACCGAGGGAGGAGTTGCCTCATATTTTTAAATCCTCTCAATGTTAGTATGATTGAAGGCGGAGTTAACGAATTCTGAGGAGAGTTTATAAAATTGTGATTGAAAGGAACGGCATAAGCAATAAGCTAGGTCGGTTCAGAGTGGCAGGATATTGGGTTTTGTTTGTTGAAAGCTTTTTCCATTACCAAAGCGGCTTACCGTCTTCATAGATCTGTATATAGAAACTGCATAGGTGTTATGGCCTAGCATCCTTGAAGAGGTTTCAAGGGGAAGGTTCTCAGGAAAAGGTGATAGGAGAAGGTTTTGAGAAAGGTTTTGGGAAAAGGTTTACTGAGAAGGTTTCCGAGAAAACTCCTACAGTTAGAGATGGAGGGGCTGGCGTCATGATGGCATTCGTCATAGTCTTAGTTGAGTTCAAGTACTGTCTCGAGTTAGACTTAAGGAAGCTGAAGCTGCCACATAGTAGCTCTCCAGCTTCTCAATCTTTCATTCTTTTGATCTTTGATCTCGCAATCTAGCATTTACATAATGTTATAATCGTATATTCTCACAGTCCGATATTCTCAGTCTTTCGTTATTTGTTACATTCTTCGTACTTCTGTTCACCCTGAGTTATCATTCTTGATCGCCTGCTCGCCAACTCGACTTCTTAACTTCGTGTCTTTCGGCTATCCTGTAGTTCTACAACTTTTGACTACCTGGCATTTCGCCAATCGAATTATGTCTAAGTATCCTTCGTTAGCAACTATAATCCTCTCAGCTATTAATACCTTACCTTCGGCAGACGGCGATTCCCAGGATCCTTAGCGCACGCCGTAACAATAGGACTTTAAACCAGAGAAATTCAATCCAATTCAATGAGAAAGAGGACGCTCGTGACGCCCTCAGCAAACTTAGAGAGGGTTGTGGACCTTTTAGTATCTTGCCGAGCTTCTACTGCTCCACAATTTATCCGGTATTTCGGACGATAAAATGCTCATCTCTCGCATGCGAAAAAGCGCCTCTCATGAGGTGCGTGTTATGAATCTACTTATTGGCAGATTTTCGAAGCTGTTAAGCTGCAGAGGTCGAGTCGATTTCGACGAAGACAAATTATCGAAGGTTCAAGGTTACAAAGTTACGAAGGTGCGAAGGTCGAAGTTACGAATTCATATGTTCAAATTATCATATTATCAAAATATCGAGTTCCCAATAAGCATATTATACAATGAACAAAAAAGGTTGTTAGAGCTAAAGAACAAATTCAAATTTCAAGCCTGAAAAAATCTAAGTCCCGTTGCCTCAGACCTAACTGAATTAAGAAGATAACCCCTGTGCCACTACATCCGAATTACACCTAACAAATTCATAACAATGCGAACATGCATCGGGTATCACCAGGATATTCATAAAACGTATCCATTTAATGAATGTGTAGACCTTTGCAATATAATTTTGCGTTATGCAACATATAGGTCAGGTAATAAGCGAGAACCATAGGTATCATAATACCCAGCACCCGATATGAGGATGGTGGTTTGGATTAAGTGGGCCTCTAATTTTACAGAGAGGGAAGCTAAAGGTAGATATGTGCACCTCATTTGGTCCCGTTGTATAGGCCCTATCTGGCTGGGGCTGCAGTTTTTAAAAAAATATTCTCACCATCAAGGAAGCACCTAGCCAGAAGAAACTTCGTGACAAAATTGCATAAGTACTATCTCTACCAGGGTGTCCAGTAACGTAGGAATCATGGGTTTTCTGGATCAAGGCCGTTTGTAGAGGTTCCCAATTAGGCACCCATAATCTATTCCGAAATTGAAGAGCACCTCTTTCATCCAAATTGCATTCTGAAATTGCAACTTTAAGGTTAAGACTTGATGGGAAGTTTCGTTCTTCGTATTTAAGTGATTTGTACATTGCTTCAAAAGTTAACGTCTTCTGTGCAGCTCCTATCCCACAAAAACTGAAGCTCTGGCTCGTTAAATATGTGGCACCCAGGTGGTATGATTCGTGAATTTTTGTCAAGATATGAGCTTGGGATAGCTGAAACTGAAGTTATTTGTGTTTTAATGGATTCTTCATCGAGGTACGGCAATTCTAACCAAGAATCTTTTATCAACTGCATTTTGCGGTTTGTCAATCGTTCGTCCTCAGCATTGCCTGGCATATCTTGTTCTCTTCTCGATAGCGCATCTGGTCGTGCTGAGTTTTTACCAGCTCTAAACCTTAACTGGAAATGGAATTGAGAGAGAAGATTACTCCATCTGACTTGTCGCTCAGATAACTTTTTGGTTGTCATGAAGTATTCTAAGTTTTTATGGTCTGATAATACCAGAAAAGATTCTTTTAATCCCATGAGTTCCCCTCTCCATTCTTCCAAAGCCGAAACCACAGCAAGTAATTCTTTATCATGAATTTCATAGTTACATTCTGCTGGGGTAAGTTTTCTCGAGAAATAGGCTATCGGTCGTAGGACTTGGGTTCTGTCAAACTGAGATAGACAGGCCCCCATCACATATCCAGAACAATCAGCTTCGATTACCGTTCTATTATCGGGATCATAAAGTGCCAACACGGGAGCTTCGATGAATAGTTCTTTGAGATCTTCGAACGAATCCTCGTGCTCTTTTAGCCAATGAAAAGCCTGCTCCTTTTTTGTTAAGTTAGTTAAAGGTTGTGAAATTTCACTAAAATTTGGGAAAAACTGTCTGTAAAAGTTTGCAAAGCCAAGGAAGCTTCGTACTCCTTTTATAGTGGTCGGGATATTCCAGGATTTCACTGCTTTAACTTTTTGAGGAACGACCTTGATGCCTTCACTAAGACTAATAATAAATCCCAAATATTTAGTACTTTTTACAGCGAACTCGCATTTATTTGGATCTAATTTTAAGCCTGCTTTGCTGAGGCGATGAAATACGTTTCCACTTTCCGCCAGTGATCATTGATGTCACCATCTGTGTAAATAAGAATATCATCTAAGTATGCTGTACTAAAGTTGTCTAGATAGTCACCTAATGATTCATTAACATATCTTTGAAAGGCTGCTGGAGCTCCCTGAAGACCGAAAGGTGTAACGAGCCACTCGAAAGAACCAAATCTTGTACAAAATACAGTCTTTTCCTCGTCTCCTTCTCTGACCCTTAGCTTATGGAACGCAGCTCGAACATCAACTTTGGTAATCCACGTGGATTTAGAAATAGCTCTTAGTGTTTCCCTGATCAATGGCAGGGGATATCGATTCTTTTCTGTAATTGCATTTAGGGCTCGATAGTCCACACAAAATCTGAAGCCACCTCCAGGTTTTCTCACAAATAGCACGGGTGCACCGCCTGATGAGCTACTTGCCCTTATTCATCCTTTATCTAAGTGGTCCGTCAAGGTTTTTCTTAGGACCAACAATTCGTCTCTTGAAATACCATAGAGAGGCCCCCACGGTATTGGCTTTTCTCTACCTCTATCATCTTTTTCCAAATTTATTTTCATATCCGATGCTCGGTGTGGCGGGAGAGTACTTTCCTGATCTTCGATAAAAAGTTGTAGCCAGTGTTAAATTTCGTTCGGTAGTTGAGCTTTGATCAGACTTGGTGTGTCAGTCGCTTTTGTTTCTAGAGCTTTGTTTATATCCTCCATCGAAATAGCGAAAATCCGTGATCCAGGCTTTCTCTTGGCTAGTTTGATCAACAAGATAAAAGTTGAGCTTACAACCCTAACAGCAGTGGCGACAAAATGTATATTTGTTTTGAAACCAGAAGAGTCATTGCTATGGTACCAGCCCTTTTCTCTAACAATCAAACTATCTGCCCTTGTTCCGAAACGAATTTCTCTCTTTTTTGCAAGATAAAAAACATCATTTTGCTCCATCCATGGTTTCCCAAGTATAAGCTGGTAAGATTGATCTTGGATTATGTATCCATAGACTCTTTCTTTCCTTCCATCGATGTCTAAGTCAGCCAAAGTTATCTCGTTAATCGTTCTTTCTTTTTCATCTTTCTCAGCTAATTGGAGAATTCGTTTTGGAATTTTTATGCGCGGGAAATTATTGGCTTTCACAAGATCTTTTGAGAAGACAGCAAAACATAGATAGCCTGTATCAATTAAGGCATGTACGTAGAAGCTATAATTTAACTGGCAATCAATTAAATATAGTGAGCTATTCATATCGTCTAAAGCCGTTTCAATCTTATTATTGCAAATTTCTCCCTCCCTCTGAACGCAATGTTGTTCAGAGGTTAGTCTTCCCCCGACAGAGCATTTTCTGACTCCTCAAACTCCATTTTAATATCCTTTGAATTCTTGTCAGATTCTTTTATCCGTGAGCTGTTGGGACTAGCAATTTCTTTCGGCCGTATAGCTAGTTGGTAAGTAGGGCAATTTCGAGATTTGTGTCTCATTTTTCGGCACCTTATGCACTTACCTTCGTTTGAAAGCCTTTGAAATTCATCTTTTAATCTCCACTTAGCTCTGGGTTTGTTGTCGGCAGTATTATCATGTCCTGCATTAAGGGCTATAATTGCTGTTTGAAGAATTTTTAAGGCATTGAAACCACCCATTTTTGTATCCCCATCTGCATCTATGACCGGCTGTTGGTTCAATTTTGGCATTTGAGATAGTACTTGCGGGTTCGATCCGTTATGGGCCACATACCACGTCTTGCTTCCTGAAGATCCGCGGGGCCGATAAGACGGCGAATTTTCAAGACGACCAGAGATCCTTTTAACTTTGGAAATCCATTTAGCATAATCGTCTTCCTGCAAGTTTTTGTTCATCAGCAGCTGACGAAGCGGGGCATTGATGGCAATTTCTAGATACATTATTTTATATTCATCCGTCCAACCTGTTTTTCCACATTGTGAAATCTTTAACTCATATTCCTGAAGGTAGTCCACAAAATACTGAGTGGCACCCATTCGCATTCGACTGAGTTGATCAGCTGCTATTTGGCGGGCTAACTTGTTCTCAAATGTTTCCTTCAGGTGATCTAGAAAATGATTTCAATTATAATTACTATCACAACCACCAGTTTCAAGCCAGTTTAAGATTCTTGGTTGCTTATCTGACGGGACAGAGCGAAAAATATCGAAACAAATAGCTCTATCAGAGCCGAGTACAGCTCGACCCTCTTTAATCTTAATTCTCGGAAGAAGTAGGTGGACATTGAGGGATGTTGTCGATCCATCCCAAACTGGCCATTGGCTCGGTTGCTTGGTTGAAGTTAAGAAGGGGGGTTTTGAGGGTTGAATTGATTGGGATTGCTGAGTTGGATGAGCAGGCTGGGATAGTTGGGTTTGTTGAAATGTTGGAGGTTGCTGAGGTTACTGAGATTGTTGGCTTGCGATCTCAGCCATTATTATCTCTCGGAGAGCTTGATATTGGGACGGTGTGATATTGGGAATGTTTGTGAGCCCAGGTTGTCGTGTTTGTTGGCCGGGTTGCTCTGGATGTCCTTGTGGCGCATCCTGTTGCTCCACGGGCGAAAAGACGTGATCTGACATATTTTGATCTGACATTGTTTGAAATTGTTGCCGTTTACAACTTTCGTAATCGCTCGAGCTTTTTTCGGAAATGGCAGCCGCAAATTTGTCTTCGTCTATTGAGTAGTTTCTGAATCTGTGACTCGAGATTTATTGCAGTCGGTTGAATTGCTGTCCAAGAAAGGGATCCTAAACATACACGACAGTGAATCTGTTATATCCTTCTTGATTAGCAAGCCGGAAATTGGAAATTGAATTAGAAAATATATGATGGGCTTTTTTTTTTAATTCAGATTGTATTCAGCTATCTAGCTATGACAATATGTGATGGGCTATCACCAAAACAATAAGAACAAAGTAAGCTGGCCGTAATACAGTCTATTTTCTAATTATCTAGGAAATGGTATCTATCTAGGCTGCAGGACATATATACATGTAGCTCTGACTCCAGGAAGGTTAATATCTATCGGATCGGTGATCATCCGCATTCTTGAGGTGATCTATCGACGATTCGTATTTGTTGGATCGGCGATCACTTTTATTCCATAACAGAACATCGGCGATTTGCACATAGATAGGCACAAGCACATGGATGTAAGGCGCAGCCTGTAACATGATAACATCTAGTTCCCCTAAGTCTTTGATCGGGAAATACGACGAGAGCTGTTGTTTTGCCCTGACAACTTGACTAAGAACCTTACCACACACGACAATTACTATTTGTAGTTCCGGATGTATTTAAATACATTGGTCACTTACTGATCTCTTGAACTTTATCAAAGAAAGTTTTGCGTCCAGTTTCTTGTACCATGCCCGTCCAGACTGTATTAATCCGTATAGGGCTTCATCGACCTTGACATAGTTAGCGCCTTGAATTCCCTCTGGACATTTTATGTACACATCCTCCTCTAAGTCTCCTTCAAAATAGGCCGTCCTAACATCAATTTGATGAGTTTCCCAATCGTAGAAGGCGCTAACGGCAAGAAGTATCCTTAAAGAGTCCATTCGAAAGTTCAGGGAATATTTGTCGAAGTAATTGATTCCATGGACCTGGCTAAAGCCCTTTGCAACCAAGCGAGCTTTGTATCTTCCATCAGACTTAACTGTAAAGATCCATCTAGAGCCAACGATCTTCTTTCCACGAGGGACGTGAGTTATAGGCTTAAATACCTCTTTTTCTTTCAATGATTTAAGCTCTTCATCGATCGCGGCTTTCCACCTAGTTTTATCTGGTCCATTTGAAGCATCCCGAAAGCTTCCAGGGATAGGGCTACCTTTTCCTACATGCAGAGCATGAGGCCTCGGCTGCCGATCAGACCTAGGCTCGATTGGATTTCGTAAGCGTGAACTCCTCCGAAGGTTAGGTTCCAGGGGAGCTTCTGGGGTGTTAGAGACATCCTGAGCTTTAGATGGACCTGGAGGATTTGGTACATCCACATTTTCGCTTTCATCGGCAGCTAGTAAGCTATCAGTCGGTGCAAATATATTTCCGTCTCTTTCTGGTTCCTCTCCTACCTCAATAGATGCTTCTCTAGCTCCTCCAATGGATGTATTTCTGGTTGGACTAACTTGGAATTGATGGGTAATTCTCTGTGTATCAAATGTATCCATCTCCAGCTCCGATTCAGTGCCTGTATCAGTGTTAGTTTCGAGAGCAAGAGTTAAGTCATCATCCAATGGTAGGATTTCTCTAGAAATTGTTTGGTGTGAAGGTTCACCCCACTCCCAGAAAGACTCTTCTAAAAACTGTACGTTTGCTGAAATTATTGTCTTATCTCTTCCTGGTTTCGAGGGAATATAGACGCGGTATTGTGTTGCTGATTTACAATAACCCACGAAAATGCCTTTCAGGGATGTCTCCTTCAATTTATATCGCTGAGGATTTTTTTGTCAATAAGCGCATAACATACGCAACCCCAGACTAATAAGTGAGATATATTAGGCTGATGACCGTTCATAGCTTCAAACGGCGTCAACTTATTCTGGTGGATTGGGAGCCTGTTGCGCAAGTAGCATGCCGTAAGAACAGCTGCATCCCCAAAACGAAGGGGAAGTCGAGAATGAGAAAACATGCACCTGGCCATTGTGACTAATGTCCTATTTAATCTTTCAGATACTCCATTCTGATGTTGAGTATAAGGCGCGCAGATCTGCTTCGAAATACCAGCAAAACTAATAGTCTTGTACTCCGTTCCACCATCGATACGCATTGCCTTTATTTTCTCACCTGTCTGGAGTTCCTTTTTCTCCTTGTAATCTCGGAAATAGTGGGGAACGTCGGACTTGCTTTTCATCAGATAAAGCATAACCTCGCGAGAAAATTCATCAGTAAATATGACAAAATAAAGACTTCCAAAAATTCCAGGAGCTCGGCATTTACCCCATGTATCGCTATGAATTAACTCTAATTTAATCAAGGATTTTGGTTGAGGTACACGGTTAATTTCTCGACTTGTTTACACAGATTGCATACGTCACAATTTTGTAGATCTTTTTTATTGACATGAAAATCATCTATCTGTCCGGCCTTGGCGATCGGAGGCTTAAATTCGGACACCTTGATATTCTCGAGAAGTCGAGGACCAACATGCCCAAATTTATGATGTAAGATTTCTTTTGGTGATCTCTGTACGTCGTAGGAGAACAATGCATCTGTTTTACCTTCAGGATAACGGTGAGTGGACTCTGAAGAAGTGTTGAAACAGAGCAGCCCGCCCTTGGGTCTCGCTGTGGCAATAGTTTCTCCAGAGCATGACAGCACACTCATTCCGCCGCTCGAGGGGCACATTTCAAAGCCTTTCGAAAGAAGCTGGACTCCCGAGACAAGATCTCTGGTACATGTCAGGACATATCACACGTTCTCGATCTCAATAATCTTGCTGGCTCTTATTTTGTCATAGGTAAAAACCCTTAGCTTTACAGTTCCGACACCCGAAACAGGAATAGATTGGCCCGATGCAGTACAGATAAACTTGTCAATGGGTGAGATACCATGAAACATCGAACAGTCGTGAAATATGTGATTTGTAGCACCGGTATTGAGACCTACATTATCATTCTTTTGGCGATCTTCTGATACTAAAATTAGTTCCTCCATTATCCAAGCCCCTTCCTTGGGATTATCGTTGTTTTTATTGGGTATTTGTCTTTCGGCCCTTGATTTAACCCTGCGCCGCTTAATTTTCTCCCGTATATCATAGCCTTCTTTGCCTTCTCGGGATTTTTAATGCCCACTTTGACCCGTCTGGAGTATCCATCCAGAGAAAACAGCCATCACGCAAATGACCTCGACGCTTACAGTAAGCACATGTCTTTTTGTTATCAATTGTCGATGGTGACGAAGTTGAACTGCTTGGACGATCATTATTTAATAGGGCAATCATTGGTGTTGGGTGCAAATCTTTCACGGATCCGTAATTAGAATTTTAATACTAATTTTAATTCGTGATAAGATGAAGGGGTAGTTAATTAAAGACATCAATTTAATAATAGCTTCCCCTATACAATTAGTCGTGTAAAAAGTCATGTAAGGAAAAGCAAGAGAGTCATGAAGAGAAGGACAAGAACACAGCCATTAATGCGAAGATATTGGCAAGAATTGATTACGATTAATTCCGGTTGGCAAAGGCTTCTACTCTTGTATATAATAGTTCGGCGTGAGAGAGATTTACTCCTCACGCAACGTCTTCTTTATTTACCCTTTACAATACATTTGTTTACCCATCTCTTCTTCGGGAAGACCATTTATCCATTGCTCAGTTCTTCATCAGCAAGACCCACGTGTAACACCTACTGCAACTAGTTGCCCATTCATCTCTTCCTAGAGAAGACCTGTCATTCCTTTGACCCATTTAGAACCTTCAATTACCACCTAGATTTTTACTAGGCTATACAACGCACCCCGTGGAACACTATCAAACCCTCATCCCCGAGATTACGTTGCGTCCTTATCCACGCCGTGCAACATGACTACTGACTACTCTCGTGATTGGGCTCCCCCTACCACAGTCGAAAATTTTAGGCAACAGTTCGAAACTAATGCTGATTCCCTTTACGCATACATGAACGGTCACCTGAATCGATACCGCACTGAAAGAGATACTGTTCAAGGCCAGCTCATGGCCGCTCGCCAGGTTATAGAAAGTCTCGAGGAGCAAACCAATCAGTTGAGCCTTGACCTAAATATCGCCAAGGCTGGTCATTCATCTACTTCCTCTAACTCAGCTGCAGCCGCCCGGGATTCAGCCTCAACATTCCGCTCCGAGAAATTCCCGGATCCCGAAAAATTCGACGGTACAAGGAGCATACTGCCCGGTTTCATCACACAATTACGGATGAAGCTCGAGGTAAACAATGACAGATTCCGCGACGAGTCTGCCAAAGTCATCTACTCGATTAGTCGGTTGGAGGGACAAGCTCTCGATCAGATTGTTCCCCTAGTTAACACAAACCCAGAAAAGCCTTTCACATCTATCACTGCATTCTTGTCATATTTAGAAGCCTCATTTGGAGACCCAGATCCTCGAGGAACTGCCCGTCGTGAACTGACTACTCTCAAACAGGGGGCTGGTGACTTTGCGTCATATTACTCGAAATTTCTTCGAGTTATTAGCTACCTCGAGTACAATGAGGCGGCGAAAATTGATGCCCTCGAAAAAGGCTTATCAGAAGATTTGAAAGACGCCATGTCACATCGGGTAGAATC